GACCCGGGCGGCCCGGCAGGTCCAGGGCCAATCAACGTGGTTATCCCTCAAGATGATATATTTGTATAGCCTCTCTCTTCTCCAAAGATATGCCCACATCTGTTCATTCTTTGACTCAAAGGCCTTATATCTTTTTAACATCCCTCCACCTTACATGCCTCCTTTTCTTCTTTTTTATCTTTCTTTCCTTTTTTTTCACCTTCAATTTGAACAAGTCACAGAATACCTTTACCTAGCCACTTGACCACATCTGTTCGTTCTTCTACATCTGTCTCTTGAAAAATCACTACCCATCTTAAAACCACCCATAATTCGCGCATACGTCAGCCACAGGCACTTCACACCACAACTATCAAGGCTCAGGCTCTGGATCAAAATGGCTGGCGACGCCAGCCAAGAAGAGGGCTCGCCGGTCCCCTTCATTTTCGGCGCAGGACTTTTCCAGGGTTGGAGAAGAGTGCCTCGAGAGTACTGGTGGTTGAAACCATCTGTACTCCGGCGAGCATGTTCCCAAACCAACCTGCAACTGTTCGCAACTGTAGTCGGCACCCCTTTGGACAAACACAGCACCAGCCACAGTGCGGGGACCAAGATATTTGTTCAGGGCCTCGCTCCACTCCTGTCCTCTATGCAAGAACAAATAGTTCAACTTAAACCACCAGTACTTCCTAAAGTCGCTTAGCGTTAACAATACGCATTTTCCGGAAACGTACGGGCCACTACAGGAGCGCCCTAATTCATCCAACTAGAAAGGTTTCTACTCTATTTTTTTCGGCGGCCCATAGCTGGGCAAAGTACTGGTGGTGTAAATCGCTGCCTAAAGTCGCATAGCGTTAACGATACGCGATTTTCGGAAACGTACGGTCCACTACAGGAGCGCCCAAATTCATCCAACTAGAAACGTTTCTACTCTATTTTTTTCCGCGGCCCATAGCTGGGCAAAGTACTGGTGGTTTAAATCGCTGCACTTACTATCCACTATACATGTGCAAAAAAAAAAAAAAAAAAAGTTCCTGCAAATTTCATTTCGCAGAGAGTACATCAAGGTCCTCACGGGGCGGACCCAAACTTGGAGAGCGTACCTAGGGTACCTGGACTTTGGGCGGACCAAATACTGGCACCGTATCTTGTAGTCAATAGCGTTTTGTCCACCCACACTCCACGTACCAGGACGTCTGGTGGTGTGCGCTCATGAACGAGAGAGTTGTTTACTGGGCAGTAAGGGCCTAGATGCACTACTCGCCATCCACCAATATTTTGAATGCGCATGGGCAGAACCTGTCCATATGCATTCCAAAATTTGAATGCACATGGACAGAGAACCTGTCCAGATGCATTCCA